TCATTGCTAGTGTGGCACTTGATCATCCTCGGCAAGCATCCTAGACTTGTTACTCTTGGAGGTTGCCGCCTCCTAGATGGCTTCTGGAGGTGTTGCCCGGTGACCTCTCCGAGGAGATTGTGGAGGAGGCCCGGCACCGTTTGTGAGTTGTTTGGAGTTCACCACCTTCGAAGTGAAGAAAGAACTACCCTAGTGATCGAGGCTTGGGTAGTCCTCTCCGTGGGCCGGCTCTCACCTTGCCCACCCCTTGACGTAGGGGGTGTGCGGTGGCTTCGTGGTTGAGCGGTGGAGTTGGGCTCGCCTCAACGGGGATTAGGAAACTGGCGAGTTTCCGAACCTCAGTGAAAAATTCCTTGTCTCTTGTCTCATTTATTTGTTGTATTTACATTTGTGAAATTTACTTTCATAGAGACATATTTGAGCCCATATCACCTAGGTTTGCAAAACTTAACTTAGTTGCTTAGTTAACCTTGCAACTCACCTTGCCTAGCAACTTAGGTTAGTTTTGTTTAAGTGCCATTAAGTTTTAAAACCGCCTATTCACCCCCCCCCCTCTAGTCGGCCTCCTTGATCCTACAGAGGCGGACTAGGCAGCCAGCTGCGGAAGCGGAGATCTTCCGCGCGGCGGGCGGCTTGAGGCGGAGCTCGCCCGGGTGGTCAGTACAGAAGACGAGACGGATCGGGTGGCCGGTGGCGGAGGCGGAGCACGCCCGGGTGGTGGGCGACTGAGGCGAAGCTCGCCCGGGAGGTGGCAGTGGAGGCAGAGATCGCCTGGACGGCCGGTGGCGGAGGCGGAGGCAGATCGAGTGGCCGACGGCGAAGGCGGAGCTAGTGCCACGCGCGACTGAGAGCTCGCGCTCCCCCGCCACGCCCGCCGCCCGCCCTTCCCCACCGTGACCTTCTCCATCTAGAACACCGCCGCCGATGTTGCCTTCTCCGCCCGGACCACCGTCGCCGCAGCCTTCTCCACTGGACCACCACCGCCGCTGCACTGCAGGAAAGGGGAGGGAGTCGAAAGAGAAGGAGAGGGGAAAGGGAGGAGCGGCAATGGCGGCCCTCCTCGCTGTCGTCTGCCTCCTGCGTAGCTCCATCTCATGCGTCGCCACCGTGGACGCGGCCACCGACAACCGTCACTCATGTGTCGTGTCCGCTGTCGCCGCCCGTCCTCCGATCCCCGCCCTGCCTGCCAGCAGTAGAGAGAAAACAGAGAGAGGGGTGAGGTAGGAGTACATGAAAAGTAGGCCTATAGTTTTTTTTTCTGATTGGATTGCCACGTTGGCGCCACATGTATGCCACATAGGACCAGAACCGCTCCGAATTGAGCCAAGGAGGGTAATTTGTCCGGTTTCAATACTTTGTGTATCAAATGTCCGGTTTTGTGGTTTGGGGGCTAATTCGGTCGACCGCGATAGTTGAGGGAAGAGGGGGGGTAATTCGTACTTTTTCCTCTTTGAAAAGGGTGGGTGGGTGGATGGATGAAACTTTCCTTTTAGAGTAGTAGTGGTATATGCAAACGTACATGTCAACTCTGCAAACAACATGTATTTTATAGAAAAACACAAGTATAATATCCTAGTCTCTACCTCAATTAAGGATGCACATACTCTATTACGCAATTATTATTAGCTAAATGCTAAGAAAACAAGTGTGAAAAGGTGGCGATGCTAAACATGGTATAAGAAAGGAAGTAAACATATTCCATCAAAATTAATAGGAGACTAAATCACAAGAAGGGAACGCAACTTAGGTTGTTTTCACTGTTGGCTCCAACAAATAAAGTCCGGAATCAGGCTTTTTAAGATACCGGAGCTCAGAACAATGCGTCGACATGCTTTTGGCTAAATGTTGTAATTGTCAAAAATTTTAGTTGCAATCTCTTACAGTGACATAATTCTACTGATTTTTGAACCTTGTACGGAATACGTCATCATATAAAGACTCTTTAATAATTCGTTTCTATGGCCCAGGATCCGACGATAGAAGTGAAAAAAATGCAATAAAAATTAATTATATCTATTTTGTTCCTTAATATTCATGTCACTTGTTATTTACTATCTTCAGCTAGGGCACACGCTAAAAAAATTAGAAACGAATACTTTCTCCCATCCACAAGTTAGCAACCTAACTTTAGAAAATATAATACAATCGCCATGAGTTGCATTGGATGGGTGCAAAAGAAAGCCATCCAAAAATTACGGACTATGCGGGCTTGCATGCAATCATCCGTACCCATAAACACCCTCTTGTCCTCATATCTTGCAACCTATGCTACACTATAAATATGTAAACCTTAGAATTAACAATTTAGTTATTTATATCAATTATCTGATTTTTTTTCCATTACTGCAGTGACTTGTGTGAGTCATTAGATCAAGCTTGATATATTATTTCTGCTACTTCGACGTCAAGAACTTCCTCTTCAACCTCATCATTTCTAGCTGAAGAACTCGATCGTCGGCAACCATCAGCCAGCGCCTATAACGGGCTGACCTTGTCCAATTCACTTCGGTTTTACAATGGCGGCATATTCAGGTTAGGATTTCAGATTTGAGCATATATAGGTTTAGAGGGAGGTTGGGAATTTAGGGTAGTGGCCCACTGCCATGGCTGTGGGGCAAAAAAAAAAGAGTGGTTAGGAGTCAGCTGACCAGCAAGCCGCTTGAGACAAGAATCGAAAGGCATGGTAGTGAGGGAGAAGCTCGAAGTTAGGTGCAGTTTATTAGGAGGAGAGAATGTACATAGGAGCTAGCCGTAGAAGGCGACTAGCATCCACTGGATGCAAATTAAGGTGCAGAGCAATAGACTGAGATTTTAAGAAATCCTAGCAGACCTTTTAGCGAGAAGAAATAAATATGCAGGGGATTAGAAGTGATGCTACATGCAGGGAATATATCTTGGACTTTCCTGACTTTTAATATTATATGCGATTCAGAGTTAGAGTTTGTTTGGAAAGCTTAAGATTTTAATAAAGCAACTGGTTGATAGGTAGTTTTCCAGCTTCTGGCTTCTAGTTCGTTTTCTGGATTCTACTAGTACTGCTTCTTAGAGTCTAAACGAAAAGCTGAACTGTTTAGGGAAGCTATTGATTCTGGGAAAAGCTGTAGCTGCCAGAAACTCCCTCAACAAGCCCAGTCTAGAACACTAATAAACAAATCCATGTAATGCGCAATCGTTCAAACTGCAAACAACATTCATAACCACTATCGTAGAGAAAAGGTCTGAATCATGAATAATTAAAAGCTACTATCAAAAACAAAGTTAAAGACTAGATCAAACTAGAACTAACGGTAATTATGATCACTCGTATACTGGAATATACTAGAAACCTAACTTTAGAAAAGCAATACTCACAATGCATTGCATGGTTGCCAAAAATACCTTCCATGCAATCCCATGCCATAGAAGTATGGAACACACATCTAAACACCCTCTCCTCCTCTCATCCTTATCCTTTGCCACACTATAAATCAGTAAGCCTAGCTTGGAGCCAGTTCACCACACACCGATTTTCGCAAACTAGAAATCAATTAAGTAAGTTCTACTCTCGATCGATATGGCGATAGCTTGGGTGAACTTGGTAATCCTAGGCCTATCCCTTGTCGCTCTCCTTGTCCTCACCACCATCCCGGAGGTCGCTGGTGGGCGACCCGGCGGCTACATCGACTACGGTGCCATGAACAAAGACCGCATCCCTGGAACTCCAGAGTTCAACCATCTGGGCGGCTCCGCCAACCAGCACACGCGTGGTTGTGAGAAGCAGTTGCATTGCAGGGGTAAAAGGCGAGGGTTCTGATCGAAGCTGCTTGCAGAGTTGCAGTTCATCATGGCCGTTGATCATGGCTATTGATCGGCTACGTAGTTTATGCTTTGTTTTGGTGCTATAATATATAGTTTTTTAATAACACTTAGAACAACACATTGTTCAGATAGCTAGGTAATTTGGTGCTACAATAGGATTTCAATAACGCTTTAGTTATAACAGCAAATTCTTATTTGGATATGTAATCATTCCTTTATGTTAAAGTGTCTGTAGTACTTGTTTGTCAGCTTAACTTTTTTTTAAAAAAAAATGATTGGTGCATATGTGTTGAGTTTAAATATTTTCTGGCTGATGCAACCAATTTTTTTTAGAGAATGGTATTTTTTACCCCCGATCTCTATCACCCAACTATATAAGCCTTAAAACCAAATGAAACAATCTTCTGTTTTGGGTTGAGTTGGCTGGTATACAAAATGTATCGATATCTTAATTAATTAACTATTATATTCCAACCACAAAGCTGAGCTTAATAATTTTGTTATAAGATTAATTATCAGTTACTTCTCTTTTGGGGTGAGGCTCGCTATTAGGAGAAAGAGGATGTTAGGTTTAGGGAAGACGGGGAAGATAACACATCTTTTGCATCTAGGCATGATCATATAGTGGCTCGATCTTACTGCTCTTGCCGCCCTGAAGTTGCCGGCACTAGCATGCGCAACATGCTCAAAATGCTCGTAGCTATTACATGTTTTCTCCATTCAGTACATCGATTTGATGAGCGAATTTATCATTGGGGCTTGTTGGGCCTAGAACCCCAGCTCCAACTGGACAAAGAATAGTAGCAGACAATTAGTAGAGCACTAGGCTGTAAGCTGGAGCAGCAGTTCGCAGAACAGGAGCAAGTAGGACTGCAGGAGTAAAGAAGATCCAAGAATTCTTTTTTAATCTGAGCATAATCAATATACGACAGAAACTTATACCGACTATGCAACATTTCCACCTCTTAAGCTACAGTAAGAGCATTTTTTAACGGTAAAAAAAATTCTGACAGTTTCGCTCCTACATGTTAGGTCTCTGAGTCTGGTAGTGTACTACTGCATGCTGGCGAGCTCAAGAAGCTATTTCAGGCACTTACACTACTATAAAACTGGTCATCCATAACGGGCTGTAACACTCATCTATAACAGATGGGTGCCTGGTTACGAATGAGTAGTCAATGATATGAAAACCTCATTTGTATTGGCTCCCTTTCCATCACTGATGACCTTTTATCTTTGAAGGTTATAATAGTGACCCATCGTCACCAATGAGGATAAATGGCAAAAAAAAATACGGTTTATACAACACGCCCCGTCACTGATGCAAAATATCCGTGAAAAAAACACCAAAAATATATATGGTCCCCTTCAAAGCTCATCGCCGCCGTGGTTGTCCCCATCATTGCCTTTTTGCCAAAGCTGTCGAACCACTGAGGTCCTCGAGGTGGTGTGACCAGATCCGGGGTGCCCAGATATGGTGGCCTGACCTCGAGGTAGCCTGATCTAGTGCCCCTAAGGTGGCTGCGGGCGAAGATGACGCCGACGATAGAGGCGGAGGCGCGTAGAGGAGATCCAACGAACGGGACAACCACATAATAGTTGAGGTGCATGCAGTCTCCACGCTGACCCTAACTGTGCCTACTGCCCGTGGATCTAGCCGTACCTACCTTGGAGGCAAAGGATGGAGGAAGCAATGCCGATGTTCGCGGTGAGGAGGCGGCGATGCCAACGCTTGGGAAATGCAGCGGGAGAAAAAGAGATGGTCGACGCTCGTAGATCTGGAGGCAGAAGGGGAGACGAGGAAGTGGGTGACGCTCTGGGTCATAAACAGCGACTGTGCCGACGTTTGGGAGATGGAGAGGGATACGGTTAGCGTTCGATCCACTATCCCCGTGGTTTTGTATGCCCGAATGATTTTTACAAATTGACACCCAATTTATAGTTAAGTTGAACTAATGGAGGTTATGCACCAAGAGATTATGTGACATAGTAGGACACTATGGAGCCCACATAAAGAAGTAATTTCTATTAATTATTGACCATTTCTTAGTGAATTTTATCGAGAAACTATAACAGAGACATCATTAAACCAGACAGCTACTTATAGGTGGATTTAAACCATCATGAGGATAAATATAGTACTAACGTGGCAACATAACTTATATTATAATGGACATTACCCATTTTGGAGATATAACGCAAGGGAGATTATAGGAGGATACCAGGTGGTAATCATAGAGCGACTGTGAGCGTGGTTTGGTGTTAAAAGTGATAGAAAGATAAAGACGGCTGCCCACCAGATCTTGATCTGACGGTCGCCCGTGGAATACCAAAACCGGAAAAAAAATCCAGAGGAAACGCATCCTCAGCTCTCACCTCACTCTCTCAGCCCACCGCCGCCGCCGCCGCCGCCGTCACCGACGTAGCGCTGGTTCCCCTTCCCCGCAGCCGGCGACCATGTCGAGTGGCCTGGACATGTCCCTGGACGACCTCATCAAGCAGTCCAAGACCAAGCCCAAGGGCGGGGCCCCCTCCTCGTCGGGGCCCACCCGCCGCGCGGCGCCGCCGGCGGCGCGCGCGGCGCCGTACCCACCGGCCGGCCCTAAGGTACGCCGCGCGCGCCCTCCCACTCACCTGTGGCCTCCTCGGGCTCTCCTCCCCTCCTCCGCAAGAAAACCCTAACTCCGCCGGCTGCTTGTCCAGGCCGCCGGCGGCGCTTCGCCGTACGGGGTCTACTCCGAGCACGTGGCCGCCATGGCGGGGGTCGTGCCGCGGCCGCGGCCGCCGCCAGCCGCCGCCGCCGCCGCCGCGCGGTCTCTGGAGACCGGGACGAAGCTGCACATCTCCAACCTCGACCCCGGCGTCACCGTCGACGACGTCCAGGTGCTGTTTGTTCTTGTCCTCGCTGCTGGTTTCGCCATTTTTTTGCCGTACTTCGCTTGTCCATTTTCAAATCCCTGGAGCTGAATCCCAGAATTGCCAAGGAAATTTGTCCACTCCCACTAGCGCGCATCTATGTTTTCCTTTCTTGTGATGAAAAATTACCATGTGAAATGTTGCAATTACCTTACCCACCTGAATTCTCAACCTCATGAATGGGGGGATGAGTTTAGTGTTGCTCATGTTTCTCTACTAGCACCTCCTGTTGTTTTGCTTGTTGGGCCGCGAACATTGACAAGGGTATAATACATATCTCAAACAAACCGTAAGACGCCACACACATGCATCCTTATTGGCACCTAGCTGCTTTAAGGTCACCACTTGAGGATATGAAGATGTAGGTAATCAAGATTGGCTCATTTCTTGATTGGATGGTCAGTTTATGGGGAAGGAAGGATAACATTACGGGGACTGGAAATTCGCATGGCAGGTTGTCACTCTCGGTGGTAGGGAGTGGTGAGATGTGACCTCTGAGGGGAGGCGGTGCTAGGTCTATGAGCAATGGCGGTATCTGTGATTAACTGGTTCTCATTTAAGATTGGTAATAGATATGCTGAGGTATTAAATAGCGCCGGGTGTGCGTGTTTATATGTGTAATAGGGCAGGTATGACATATTGGGAATGGAAAGTAATCTTTTGGTGGTTTACATGTGTTGTAGGATGAATGACATGTAACTGAAATCGATGTCTCAGTGCCATTAGAACCCAATTTTCCATGATTTGTATTATACTAGTTGTTGGTAAAACATGATTCCAGTTATTTCTTTGCATAATATACTCCCTCTATTGCATAATAACTGACAATGGGCACTATTCACTTTAAAACTTTGACCACTCGTCTTTTTCGTTGAATATCTACAAATACTAGAAATGATGCCATGCTATAAAGTGATGTATGCCCTAAATATAAGTATAAAACTTTTGTTCATTTGATCTAACAATTCAAGGGCAATTAATGGTCAAAGTTTAAATGGGAAGTCAAAATTGTCAGTTATTAAGAAATGGGTGGAGTAGTTTGCAATCTCCAAATTCTAAGTGTTCAAGTAAGTAAAAGTGCAGAGACCGTTCTTGATAACATGGAAATCAGGTTAATAAACTCATCTTCACATACACTTTGAAGAAGCACAGTGTTGTCTTTCCTTGCTATGTGATTAACTGATACATTGATATTGTACCCTTTTGTGAAAGATTTAAATTCTCATCCCAAGGCAAGCATATGATGATGATACTTTTTTCTGTACTCTGACCAATGACATTTTAAAGGCATAGATTCGTTGCACAGAGAGATTCGTCATAAATATATTTCCAGTGTTTATTCTTAAGTTTTACTAAGCTATCATGAATTCATCATATTGTTATAAAAACTACTTGGTTAAGCATGTCATGGAGATTGTGTTAAAAGCACCAACACTTTGTGATTGAAGGGAATAATATGAAACTTTTAGTTTTTGTTTAAGAATATAAGCACAGAATCTCAATTATTCTGTGATTGTAGCTGATGGGCTATATTATTTTCTTTCCTCAGGAGCTCTTCTCGGAGATTGGTGAGCTCAAACGCTATTCTGTTAACTATGATAAGGATGGAAAATCACAGGTAGACCATGGAGTATTGTCTTGCCTTTTTCTGTATATTGCTCAGATCTACTCTCTGTTCTCATTTTTCTGACATTTTTTCTTAGGGAACGGCAGAAGTTGTGTTTGCAAGAAAAGTGGATGCTTTGGAGGCTATTAAGAGATATGATGGTGTAATACTTGATGGTAACCCCATGAAGATAGATCTCATCGGAAATAATTCTGAGACATCCCCAATGCCCCCAACAGCACCTTTGTTGTACAATCCACCTTTTCCGAACTACCCTAACAGGTCTGTTTCAACTGTTCCTTGAATTCATATATTGGTTTTAAAATCAATAAAAATACTATTAGTGTGGAGCATCCTTTTCTCGTTTTTCACTCATTTAGAGACATTATTTTGCTAGCAATTAACTGCCACTAAGAATATTATAACAAACAGACTTGAGGTGTTCTCTAATTTCATGGAGGATTTCGTCAATTTGATATCTCCTTAGGTTTTGATACATCAAACTGTAATTGCGTACTGAACCCAATTGGCAAAAATGAGGCGCATAATCCTTCAGGGAAATAGTTTTCAAGTCTCACGAATTGATTTTTCGAAATGCCACTTAAGTAGCTCACAAATCACATTTCAGACTAGTTTTCTCTGTACTATTATACTCAATGAATTTGTGCCCCTTCAAGTTCAGAAGCTGTTTGGGCTGTGCTGATACTGCTGCAATCTAGCCTTGCACAGAGTGATGTTATCCACACAATTTATTTACTGCTTAATTTCTTTCATGTTTGTGCACATGATACTGTTCTGCACGGTTCAGTTGGATGCTTCTATTTACAGTAAAATGTGAAAAATTGAGAATGTTGTGAAATATCTTAGATTTGTTGGGCAGATGGAGAGAGAGTAAATCAACACAGGAGAGAGTTCTGTTATGTTTGAAGGTCAATGAATAAAAACTTTGGATGATAAACTGGAGAGCTTTTAGAGCTAACTAGTAATTAAACTACTATGTAGTCTATGTTGTTAAACATGTTGCTTTAAGGTTTGTGCTCGACAGTTGAAACTATTGTCCATGTTACCATCATATCATACCTAATGCTTGAATTAGTGGGTTTTGTTGCCTGTTCAGGAGTTATGTGCAACTGAAAGATAAATTTAGATGTTCAATAGCTACAGTGTGCTATGCTTGTGTAACATAGTATTGTCGAAGCAGTATAGGACATGATGAGTTCTCTGGTTGCAATAGGCTTTGTTGTTGTAGACTAATAGTCACCATGTCTGGCACCAGCACTTGCCTTGTTAGGGCGTTCACGGTGTGTCGACATGTCGTTCGCCCTCACCCTTCCACGTGGGAGATTCGTCTCCATTCTTGCTCCTATCGTGACCAAACCAAGACCGTGCAGCCAAAATGAGCCACGGATTCTTCGCACGGATCGAGGGGCTGTGGCGTGAGGATAGATCGGGCGCGAATGCATAGCTCGTAGCCTGGCCTCGCGCGGCTTCGCGCGCGCTCACCCTAAATCGCCGGCGGACAGGGGGAGATGAGGGCTGGAGAAGTGAGGAGAAAGCCTTGTCACCCACTGCCAGAGAAGAAAGGATGGAAAGTTGGCACGGAGCATGCTGGCCGGCGGCGAGCCGGTGCAGAACCTCATCGCTGCGGCCAGATCCACGCTGCCGCCGAGATTAGCCAGATCAGCCGCTCCTCAGGGTCCTCCGCCGCACCGCCGGCCATCAGTCCGCCTCGGAGTCCTCCGCCGCTGAGGCCCACCGCTAGATCCGCACTGTTCCACTCCATGCTGCCACGGTTAGCCAGATCTGCGCCGTCAGCCCCATCGCCGCCCGCCATAGAAAGAAGAGGATGGAAGGTGGAGCTCGACGGAGTGGCGTTGGTGGCCGCTTTGACCCGTCTGCAGCAGCAGCTCGACAGCAGCCGCTTCAACGTGTCTGCGGCTTCCTTGCCGCACCGCCGGAGCTGCCCTCAGCCTTGTCGCTGTTTCGATCTACTCTACGGCCGCACGGATAGAGGCGGTGCCAGGGAGAGGGTGTAGGCGGCAGCACCTAGGAGAGAGGGGAGAAACGGCGCCACCGGGAAGCGGATAGGGGATCGGGGGTGGAGGGAATTAGGTGGGGAGGGGAGAGATTTTATATTACTTTCTTGATTTTGGGTGTTAGAGTGCAAATTTCGGAGTACTATGTAAATTGAAAACTAAAAGAGTGCAAAATGTCTGTAGGTCCCACCATAGATTTTTCTAAACCACACCTTGCACTGTGGGTGTAGTGTCCTTTGAAGTTCTTAAGCCTACATGGCAGCTGAGGCCTAGCAAATTGTTTGGACGCATTTGCTATTGCCCTTAGAAAACCTTGTTGAACACCAAAGATGGGCATGTTTCAATTATGTCACTGGAGTCACCTACACTGAGAGATGCAGTACGATTTCCTAAACCATATTCTTTTCTCTAAAAAAGGATCAACACTGTAGGTCCGGACGTCTACGATATCGGAATTATTAGAGCAGAAGCATGCGGTATCAATTGGAAATCAATAATTCATGTTGGAAACACCGACCATAACACCGTATGTTCATGCGCTTGACCACAACTAGGTAAAATAAACTTTCATAGGCACTATACTAATGATTTATTCAACACCAATGGCATATTCATAGTGAACTGAAGTTACCATTTTGCTGAGCTGCAAAGCTACGTGTACTGTTAGATGTTACGTAGTTATATCGATTTTATTTGCTTGTGAAACAACTGACATAGACTATGATATTTAAGAAAACTATTGAGCTTAGGCATTGACCCGAACAAGGACTCAGGTTACCAAATCGGACCGCATGTAAATGTGGTGTCCATACAGCGCTATTAATGTTCTTACAATTTATGCTTCACAATGGAAAATGAGTGTTGGTTTGCATGTTAGTCGGGGATTGGAGGTACTTGATTCGATTCTCAGGCTCCCCACACTAGCACAATTTTTTGAATTGCTCATGCAGGAAGTATTGGGCCAGGCCTCAGAGTGGTAACCACATGGAAAACATGGGCTGTGAGGCTGTGACGGCGTGGCTATGGCACATGAATGCATGGCCACTGGGATACATTAGGCCTAGGCTGTTGGGGTAGCAGAATTCTGAAATTACAGACGGATGAATATAGTAAACCAAGGAAACGGTCAGCATAAAAGTGGAATCGTTTCCGCTGCTGTTTCTGGCTTGTTCTACCATTTCCATTTATGCTTCGGGCAATTACTGTTTCCAGTTGATTTGGTCAATAGAAATCAGAAATGAGCATCGGGCGGTCCCGAATTTCCATGACTATTTTCACCCTAGTTCCATGTATGAGAAGGTGCCAGGGACAGTAAGCAATGTTCAATAAGGTGCTTGTTGGGCAGCATGGTTCTGCCTAGGAACTAGGGGCACCCATGTGGTGCCCTGGGACTAGCTAGCCCACACTGTTTTGGGAGTAGCACAGCGATGGAGAAGAGGTTAGATCAAATGGTAATACCTGCAGGGTTGGATAGCTTCGTGATGGCATAGAGGATGGAGAATGTGCCAGGGAGGTTGCATTGCACTGGCATGGAAGATGGATTTGGTCGGATATGAGACAGACCCGCCAGGAGGAAGGTGACTTGGGCCAGCAACATGATGGATTTAGTGGAGGAGTTGGTTCGGCTGATGACAAGATGGATTTGATGATGTGCTTGTGGTGTTATATATATTTGGCTGTAGACGTGCCATCAGATGCAGTCAACTTCGCCATTTAGTGAGGTTGTGTGTCCTTGTCCTGCTATGTGGTCTGTAGGTTCAACCATAAATTTGTCAGCGTTTGTCCACTCTTCCTTGATAGTTTTTATGACTTCCTAATTCCTATAAGTTCCTTGTCAGCTGGGGTATTACAAACCAAAACATGCATCTCGCCATCCATGATGTACCATAGTTTTTATTACTTCCTATAAGTTACAGGGTAAGATTGCTGCGACAGCTTTCATTCATTCCTTGTGCACAACATTGAAAAACAAAACAACGTATACCACTTTTGTCTGTTTCTGTTTTCACAATGTGGAATCCTGTGGGCAAGATCTAACAGATCCGACTCAGGAATCCTGTGGGCAACCACTAAATGTCTAATTCTAAGAAATATTTAATGAAAATTTGGCGTCCATACTGCTTTATAAGATATAATCCAAACACCTGTTGTCTCATCTACAATGGAAGGACGGCCAAGAAAGGAAAATATTGTAATTGCACTTGATGCATCAATGGACTTACATTATGGAATGACTACATCCAAGTGCACCTTTGTGTGTAATAGAGATAGTAGTCCAAGTGTACCTGTTGTCCATGGTTTGATTTTGAAGGGAGCAGATCACACTGCTGCAGCATTTTTGCTCTTTTTTGCACTGTTCTAGATTGTCCAGTCCTTATTAGACAACATTTCAGGATATACAAACTGCATCATGTACTCCCACTATTTTAATAGCTAGTTTCTGAGAGTCTAATGAGGTGGCTTTTCATTAAGAGTAGGACATCGTTTGCAGACACATACATCTACAGAATTTATATTCACATGCACAGCCAATATTGTTATGGGACACTCTTTTGTTTGTGGGAGATGATGACCACATTCTGTAACCTCTCCTTCAAACTGGTAATTCCTCTGTCAGGAAGCATTTCAAATAGCGAATATATCCAAATCTTAGGTTCATCATGTCCTTCTAAGGAACTATCTTCTATTACTAAATACTCGTAGCATTTTGGTTACTTTGCCTGTAGTGTACCACGGAGAGGTGGCCAAAGAGGACAATTTCATCAAGGTAATGGTCGCCCTGGAAACAGTCAGGGCATTGGAGGTGGGCCAAGAGGATTTCAAGGTAGCGGTCGTCCTGGAAGCGGTAGTCAGGGCGGTGGTGGCTGCAGCCAGGGGAAAACCCGTGGAAATGAACGGAGTCGCATACAAAAATCAGCTGCAGATCTTGATGCTGAATTGGACCAGTATCACGCAGAAGCAGTGAAGGAGAAATGAGGTTCTCTTCTATTTTTACTAGTGGGAATGTGGGATGACACTGAAACTACCTGGCATTGATTTAAAGATGTGAAATTATCTTGCTAGTGTTTTCATGTTTTGTGCTAGAATTTTTGTTGTTAGTGACAACCATTCAGGATAACATGCTTAATCATGTGTTTGGACTTTGTAATGTGCAGTTAAAGTTATTTTCTGTTTGATCAAATGCTTGGGAAAAAAAACATGCGTGCGTTTCCTAGCCTGGAGATGATAATTGCAGATACCATTGAGAATAGCTACGGACCATTCAACATCATGTTCTTATGTTTTGTTTTCCCCACCAATACTGCTGCACATATTCTGTTCTGTTATATTAGTTATTCAAGATTTCCGTTTAAGCTTTCAAAATATGCAAAACCATCATTCAAAACCATCTTAGGGGGTAATATGGATGGTATGGCAAAGTTTAGGGGGTTGGATGTTTGGTTTTAAAGTCCAAGGTGCTACATGGATTTCCATTTAAAGTTTAGAGAGGGTATTTGGACATTTTCCAATTTGCAAATTAGCTAAAAAGAATTGAAGGACTAAGACAAATGCTGCATTCTAAACAGCGAAAAGCATGAAGATAAGCCATATAAGACGTATATATTTTTATACGGTCTTCAATTATATATTTTGACCATTAATTTATTCCATGTTATATTCTCAACGAATATAAAATTAGCATCACATGAAAGTAATAACTTAAAATATGTAGTAAAATGACAATACAATGATACACAATAGGATTTCCCTTCTGTGTATATATACTCCATTTTGCAAGCAAGAACACACTATAGTGTCAGCCCTGCACGGCCGCAAGCTGGGTACAAACGGCAAAAAAAAATAGTAGTAGTTTTTAGAACGCCCGAAATTAATTATTGGCTCTGGAAAGAATCATGCATCCAATCCCATCTTGAAAATCAATCTCAAATTTCCATCACTCGGTACTTCTGTAAGAAGAATGACACATCGGAGCAAAGAGGTTGCTCATCGATCATTATTAGTATAAAGTATACCACATATCGAGTATGTATTTCCAAATCTCTAAGTACACTTGCAAATCTTTTAGTAGAAAATACATATTCACAAGATATGGTGCTACAAGGCACTAGCACTCTTTTTTTAGTTAGTGCAGCACAGCACCGGTCGGAAATCTACATTCTCCTCAGATTGTCCAGCCTCGCCTGCAAATCCGCGTCGATTCCACCGTCACCATTCCCACCAGCAGATTCAGCCTGCGCAACCTTTCCTGCTGCTGCGGGCTGAGCGACGGCAGCCGAAGGGGCCTTTACAAGCTGCAAAAATAACAGGAAACATGATATGATTTTTGTTACCATCTACACAACTCGGCCATGCAAAGACAATTTTACTAGAGGCAATTTCAGGCAGGGCAGCACGCCAGGTCTCAGTGCGCAAAAGCATCGTGAAGTTTTGTCACCCTAGTCCTACAGATACAATCACCCTGATCTTTTTACATAATTTATAGTTTAAACTGGATGTTCTAACTGTTTCTATAATAATTGTGAGGAGCTGAATAGGGCTGAGTTCTATTCAGTAAAAACTACTAATAAAGGTACAAATGAACAAAGTTGTCTGTTGAATAGAGAGAGATTTTTTGCAGGTGGACTTTGGCTTGATCAAATATACTTGGTTGTGGACATCTGTTGGACCAATCCAATATTTGTTATTATTTTCTCAATATAATATAAGCAATCCAATATTTATTGGCATCTCCTTGGCATAAGTTTCTTTTCTTTTTTAATTTAGAACCAAAAGCATAACTACTGCTTTCATGATAATTCTAACCTCCACACTGATCTCACTAAAACATAACACAAAAGCAAAAGAAACACATACCTCTTGGTTAATATCAATGCCAATTTCATCAAGGACTTGATTCACAAGCTCCTCAGTTTCTTCCTCTTGATCCTCATCTCCCTCCAAAGCATCATCTATAGCATCCCCCATGACTTCACTCGTCATCTCCATTCTCTCATTTTGTCGCTCAAACTCCATCATAATCCTCTGTAATCCTGGCAGATTTAACTGCCTGTTCATCTGACCCATAGCCTTTGTAACACCTTTCATGGCATCACCCATAGCTTGTGTAGATTTCAGCGTCTGTAATAGTTGCAATTTGGAGATGTTTATGGATAATGGTGAAAGACAAAATGGATGCAGCACAAAATTTCAGAACAACAGAAACATATTTTATATGAAATTTAAAATAAGTCTGGGTCTGAAGCCCATTGTGTCAAATATCTAGAACTTCATGCATCTATAAGAAAAAAAGTTTAGCACAACTTGACCACGCCTAATGGCATGTTGCTTCTACTGCTTAGTAGGAATACAACTTAATAAAGTGGAGATGTAGCAACTCTAGATTATTAATGACATGAAACTAAATCTACTAAAAATGGCATTTCTCACAAAATATTTTTAGTTCTATCTTGTGATATAAGTCGATAATAACAACTCATATACTTATGAACAAAAATGAATTCAGATGTTCACTTTTATTGCTTATAATGCACCACATAAAACATCAATAAAAGTTAATCAACCATCTGGAAGTCACTGCCAGTTGGCATGGCATACACATACTCTGAAAAAGAGCAGGAATTAGCAAGAGAATGACCGAGAAAATGCATAGTTACCTGAACTCTTAGAGAAACTCCTTGAAGCTGAGATTTAAGTTGGTAAAACTTTGTGATCTGATGCCGTGTTCGAATAAGATCTTTGGCCATTACTTTGACAGCACCCTGAGTGTGGCATGTGAAAATTCAGCATCTAGTAATAGGAGAACAGTCAATACATAACTATTATTTGACAACACAAGAAGAAAACTACATGAAGATATAAGTTCCATGTCGCTTTTGTGTTACTTATTGCACTACAAGAAGGTACGAAGTATTTCGCACCAAGGACTTCATGTTATGTTGATTTGACTATTGACAATATTTGAAAATTGAAATTTAACATGTTAGAACTCTGTGTTTGTTTCATCTACTTCAGGGTCAAGGAATACATCAAAGTGCTGTGGCAGTAGGCTTTATGAGAAGAAGAGAAATCTTGAAGCTCAACGCTATGTATTAGATAGAATATGTGCAGTTCATCGGTTGATGCGACAAAGATCACAATATCAATTTCTGGAGGTCATCAATAGGAACAGCCACTAGCCAGTAAAGTATACAGGCATCTGTGTCAGAATATGCAGTGCATTGTTGGTTCATGCCTGTAGGGGATTAAAAGGTGAAGGACATGATAACTGAGAAGTAAAACCTTTTCAAAGAAAAGATTAGTGTTGGTTGTTTAGTAAATTCTAACATGTTCATCAATGATACCAAGGATGCTGCAGAAATATCACATTGTGTCTGGGGCTCTTTTATGTCCGATTCAGTGAGCAATTTGGGGACTGCAAGCTCAAAGACTTAACCATCCTTCCATCATGTGAAAATAGTATTTTGCAAGCAGAGAGAAGCTACACATGACCCAAAATATACCTCTTATTTGAACAGCCTATTATTTCCACATATCAGTTTAGAGTCATTTATTTCCAATACATGAAGAACGACTGTTCTTGCTACCCTTGAGATATTCAATTAGATATCGTGTTTAAGAGTTCTTGGTTATAGTATACCAAGGTAATTTCACACTACTGCTTGAGATATTCGATGCAGCCTTCCTGCTTCTCTTAGTCCATGAATGATATCTAGCAAAACATGCTGACAAATCCTTCAACATTAACCTGTCCATTTTTAGCAGCAAAGTGGAATTGTTCATCCACGACCTTCCACCACTTCATCGGCAGGTTATCCAATTTCTGTATCAAAAGATGCCAATCTATTTGGAAATCTGATCCATATTAAAACTAATGCAAGGGGGCAAAATAAGTCAATTAGTACCACCAACCAGCAAACCATATCAATTAGTACCACCAACCAGTAAACCAGTATAGCCATTACGGTAAAGTAGGGCTATTTCCATATTACCGGTAAAGGCCTTATTTGGAATGCAGGAGGACACCACATGAATAAAAAAAATCCCACGTTCCAATGGAGGCCTAAGAATCACAATAAGATGGTAGGCCACTCGACAAATATTTCATTCTCAAAGCCAGCACCGAAAATTATTCCTCAGAAACATCACCTCTGTGATCTTGTCGTTGATAAATTTCCAATGTTAAATCTTGATCTAGTGATAGCAGTTCTTTGATTATGATATACAGCACCGAATTAGTAGCATGATTATAAAACACATTCATATTAAATCTCAACATGCAGAAATCAACTTGTTAAGAAAAATAATAAAACAAATAAATAAAGTGAACTGTGTCACCGAATACGAAAGAAGGCATCTGCACAAGAACAAGAATAATAGAAAATTTAATTCACATTCTTAAATTCCAGAGTTCATACCATCTGGCCTTCCTTTGCTGTTTTCTTAATCTCAGTAATGAGTTTTTTCTCCTGGGCTTGCAATCCCTGTCTTTCTCGTTCAATTTCCCTTATTGATCGATCCAGCATTCTCTTGTTCTCTCTCAAGAGCTCTGAAAGAACCAATTGAGAAAAAACCATAAGCCATTTGATACACAAAAAAATGTTAATACTTGCACTTTTTGTATTTCAATCTAATACTATACAATAGCTTGGAAGTAATATAAAGGCTGACCTGGACATTATTAATCTCTCTATAGAAGTTGAAACAGAAAATAATACAAAAAAATGACTGGCTTTTAACAATTGCATCACACAACTTAGAAAGCATGGTAATATGCCAAAACAGTGGTCTCATATTCACAATGGTTTCAATTACTGGTACTCCTCAACAAATAGGCTTCCATATTCAGAAGACTATGCACATTCATAATCTGATAGATACTACTGAAGTTTCAGTCTAAAACAAATACATGGACACCACATATACGCATATCCAGTTTTTTACACATAGCAAGACAGATAATAGTTGTAGTGGAGTACTTGATTACACAAATAATTCTACAAAACAGTTAGCACTTAGAAAAATGATGGTATAGTACTACTCTAAGACGCATGCAGGTGCTATTATTCTAAACTTTGTTCATGACCTAGTAGAATCTTGTCATCCACACTCTTCAGAAAGATCCGTTATGTTTGTACGGATGAACAAAATTAGCTTGACAAAGAAACATCAGAGGAAAAAAGTCAAATAAGCACTATGCTTCTCCCTCGAAAAAAAAAAACAAACTATGTTTCTGAAATACTAAATACATACATACCAGATTACAAATGCAAACACTCTGCCTCACCAGCCAGTGTCCATTACTGTTACTTTCAAGATCATAATCCAGAACATCAACTTCTAGTGGTCATCAGACCAAATTAGTTCATTTTCTACAGATAAAATCCTATCAAATCAAAAAACGATTTTATAGAATAAACTAGTAATTGTAGCGATTTCAAATCTATCACTGGCAATCCAGTTCCCGAGTGCACCGGCCTATTAACGTAGGCGTAAAAAGCTGCGCGAACCCCCAAGGCTAGAGCAGCCTGCTTGCAGGTTAAGACTAGTTATTACTATACAGCAATGATGTTAATATCCTTTTTCTTATCATCTAACAAGCAATCTCGCGATGACAATACGGTATATCGATTTGCTCCTAGCATCTAAGGCGAATACAATCCTAACAACTAAGAAACAACAACTCATGAAGACCTGAAATTCCCGATCCCTATAAACCAAAGAGGCATCAAGAAGCCTATTTACCCTGGGGCTTCAGCCGCAGAACTGTCAGAGCGGCCAGCTATTACTAATCTCTACCTCCACACATCATCAAAAGGCAAAAACACGCAAGAAATTCTTGCGCGCGCGCGCACGGGCCGAAGTTAACCGAACCAATCCACGCGAATTCGAGGGGCTGGGAGAGGATCTATATCTTACCAGCAGGCGTCTTCCGCTTCCCGAACAAGAAACTCATCTTGGCAGGCGGGGTGGAGAGGAACCGAGACGAGGTGGATCGAATCGAAGGAGCTCGGATCGAGTAGAGGAATTTGGCTTCTCCTCGCTCGCCGACGCCGATGGCGGCTTCGCTACCCTTTCCCTTCTCTTCGCTAGGAGGAGAGGAGGAGTAGTTTGCTGTGCCAGGACAGCGCAAGATTCCCAGATAATAATTGATTAATTAACAGAATAATTATTGTTTTGTGCAGATGGGCTGGGCTGGGCCTGGCCGGGCCGACCGAAGCTCATTCAGGAAAGGAATAAGTTCACATGAGGTCCCTTAACTTGTCAACGAATCCGATTTTCATTCTACAATCGGAAAAACCAGATACGTCAGGTTCCTCAACTATCAAAACCGGTGTAGTATAGGTCCCACTGTAGTTTGGATGGTGGTTTTAGCTGACATGGTGCCTACGTTGACTCGGTCTTTATCTGACGTGGCTTTGACATGGCGCATACGTGACAATTTGACTTGGAAAATAATAAAAATTGTGACATGTAGTTATTCCAAAAATATTTATTAGAAATGGTGGAGCCGAGGTGGACCCTACATGTTATTCTCACCCCTTCTCTTCTCCCTCCTCTCTCACCATCTCCCCTCTCTTCACCTCGCGGGGGTGGTTGGCTCAAGCGGCGACACTATGGCCATGGATTCGCAGGAGGACGCCTCCTAGCCAGCAGCGGCGGCAAAGGCGAACAGTGCCTTTCCTTCCCCAAGGAATTTGCCGGCGAGAGGTCACACCGTCGGCAGGGGAGCGAGGAGGTCCGATGGCGTCCCGACGCACCGGTGGTTGGGGTCGGGGATGAGCATGCCGCTGCCGCGGTAGCATCCAGGGATGCGGAGGCGTCATTCCCCTCGCGTGGCGAGGGCTTGACAACAAGGCTGTTGAGGGGGGCGTGAGCGGGGGGAGGCGGCGGTGGTTGCTGCAGGACGGTGTCAGCGTCGGTCTCGGACTCCGGCTCTGGCTCCCATGGCCCATCCTCCGCGTCGCTGCCACCTCCTCATTTCCTCTCGCTTATCGCCTCCCAAATCCACTCGTCTCCCTCCACACCTCTACCCATGACTCCCGTGGCGACCCCGCAGCAATGCTGGCTCCCCACCCCCGTGTGCGCTCCCCCTCCTCCTCCATGCGCACCCCCTTCGTACGGGCCCCATCTCCGGAGTTCCCACCTGCCTCCGCTTCCATGTGCGCCACGCCACGTCGGCATCGGTCTCGGACTCAGGCTCCCGCTCCAGCATCGGATCTCCTCGCTCCTCCGCCAAAGGCGTGACCCTCTCGCCGTCGAATTCCCGAGGGAGGGAGAGGCGTCGCTCGCCTCCGCCGCCACTGCTGGCTAGCAGGCATCCTCCTGCGAGTCCGCTGCCACAACGTCACTGCTTGAGCCTGCCACCCTCGCGCTGCCACTTGAAGAGAGGGGAGATGGGGAGGGAGGTGAAGAGAGGGGAGAGAGGAGGAAGAAGAGGAAGGGTGAGAATTATATGTGGGGTCCAGTTGTCCACGTGGGCCTCACTATCATTTATTAATTTTTTGTTGTAACTAACATGTGGGGTAACAATTTTTATTATTTTCTAATTCAAATGGCCACGTAAGCGCCAAGTCAATGCCACGTTAGATGAAGACCAAGTCAAATTAGCCACGTAGGGACGATGTGAGCTAAAACCGCCATCCAAATCGCCTTGGGACCTATATTGTACCGGTTTTGATAGTTGAGGGACCCGTTGTATGTGGTTTTTTGGTTGAAGGATGAAAATCGGATTTGTTGACAAGTTAATAGACCTCGGAGGAACTTATTGCTTTAGGAAAAGGTCATGTGCCCGCTCCTTTGTTGGATGGAGGGCTGATATTCCACTAGTGGGTTGAATCAAATGCATCAATGGAGGACCTGCATTTTCAATCTCATATGAAGCTCATGGAGATTCCTCCTAAATCTAACTTAAAGTTCAGGGACTTTTTTTGAAAAAAAAATATTCTCAATGATCCCACATGGTTTAGAGAGGTTAATAATTGTCTATAGAAACAACTATATTCTACTCCCTCCATCCTAGAATATAGCAACATATGACCAGATGGTACGTATCCTAATACTATAAATTTGGACCGGGGCTGTAGGTTCTAATGCTATTCAGGGAGTGCCAGGTATGAGTTGTGGTGTTAGTTGACCTACAGCTTTTTCACACAGTACTCTTGTGAGTATCAATATTTAAATGTTACATTTACAGGAATGATCTCACTAATTAATATTAAGTAATGGTATTTGATCCTACGAGGTAAAATTCCAGGCTTCGCCACCGAAGGCAATGAGGTGCAGTGAGAGCGTGATCATCTGCTACAAGTACGGAGAATGTTGTCTCAAATATCCTTACAAGTTTCATTGTTTTTTACCGGACATGTATAATTAGAGATATAAATTCACATATTTTTTTTGTTTGTGCACAAATTATATATTTGCCGTACAAAGTAAAGCTTTTCAAAACAATATGCTTGCAATCCTGAAAAATCACGCCATACAACCTACATTACTGCGGAAGTAGATTTTCGTCCCTTGAGGGGACATCCCCTTGTTTCGTGCATGGTGTTCAAAAAGTTATCAAAAAAATTTAAAACAAATTGTCAATATAAATCAATATATGATATATCTTTTCGCAAATATACAAGTTAAAATTTGACTTATACAATTCGAAACAAAAATAACAAATTTGACCGTGAATTACACGTTCTATTCATAGTCAAATTTGTTATTTTTGTTTCTACTTATATAATTAGTTGAATTTGAATATGCATGTCTGTGAAAGTGACACATCACATATTGATCTATCATACTAAATTTTTTTAAAATTTTTTTGATGACTTTTTACATGACATGAAAAACAAGGGGATTAAGGGATGAATAGATTTTTCGCATTACTACAATTTTCCTTGCGATAAAACTAATAACCAAATGTCTGGCTCGACATGTGCACCTTCGTTTACATCGTTTGGAATGTGAACGAAGGTATGACTGCGTTTGAATTTTGTTTACATCAGTAACCTTGCATAAAAGCTGCAATCGCATACATACCTGAGCCGCACACTTTCTGTCAGTGGGGTCAGTCAGCATAAATTAACAGCTGACTTTATTCTAAAGCAGGTCCAAATTAGTTTTGTTAGTTCTAGGGGCTTGTTTAGTTACTTCAAACTTTTAACTTTTTCATCACATCATAACTTTCCTACACACATACTCTCTCTCCATCCCAAAAAAAAAGACAAACCCTGAGTTTCCGTGTCTAACGTTTGACCGTCCATCTTATTTGAAAAAATTATGAAAAAAATTAAAAAGATAAGTCACACATAAAGTATTAATCATGTTTTATCATATAACAATAATGAAAATACTAATTATAAAAAAATTCATATAAGATGGACAGTCAAACGTTGGACAAGGAAACTCAGGGTTTGCCTTTTTTTTTAAGGACGGAGGGAGTAAACTTCCAACTTTCCATCACATTGTTCTAATTTCAACCAAACTTCCAATTTTAGCATGAACTAAACACACCCTAGGTTCTCTGATTTTTTACTCACCTCAGTGACCTGAACCTGAACAAGACATAACCCAAAAGGTTGAACTATAAAAAACTGTGATGTAATATTTTTTTTACTGTGAATTGTGATGCCATTTAGTATACATGTATTGCATGCGACTTGTTTTTTGTTTCTTGGATTAATCTATATCCATTTAATGCTAAATTTTTTTTTTCAAATTAAGAAGTATCAACACAAAAATATAATTTAGTAACATTATTTGTTTTTCAACAAGAAAAAAATGCATATCAAGAGTGGTTGGTAAATAAGAAAGAAAATCACTTGGAACTTAGGTGATCCCATTTTAAAATAGGGGTAAGTCAGCATATATTTACTACTCTCAACTATTGTGCTTGTATATAAAACACCCATCAATTATGAAACCCAAAAACTCTACACCCCTTAACTATCAAAGGTAATTGAGCCAGTTTCCCTGGGCTAAGACTGGATGCGGCTTCCCACTTCTAATGTCCGCTCTTTAGCTGTTCCAATCAATGTTCCTTTGCTTGGACAGCTAAGATTCTACAAGTGGGATCATCACAGACGCTATCTTTTTCATAATAGAAATTAATTAAGCTACTCCATCCATTTAATATTATAAGTCTATTTAGATTTATCCCAAGTGAAACATCTATTTACAAAGAAATATAGCAACATTTTTAACACAAAATATAAATGCTATAATAAATATTCAATGTTAAATTTAATGAAACTAATTTAGTGGTTTAGATGTTAGTATACTTTTCTACAAACCTAGTCAAACTTAAAAGATATTTGATTTATAATAAATCTAAAGTGACTTGTAATATTAAATACAGAGAGTATTTACTTAGTATCATGATCAATTGCCATCCTATTCATCGATAAAGAGTAAAGAAAACAAATGTAGAGAAGCTTCGAGCCGTCCAATATCTTGTAATATGTTGACTCCATTTGAATTAGAGGAGAAACAAATGCATAGAGAAGCTATTGAATTAAGCAAACAAACAGAACAAGTGCTGTAATTAAGCAATGCTGATATAAGAAGTATTTGCAGAAATCGTACTTTCATAAGAGGGATGCAAATAATTCAAAAAAAAAAAGAAGCACCATATTCATCCTACAGTACTACAGTTCTCCTGTGGATTGATGTGTGCAACTGTGCACCTTCGTTTACATGATCAATCAAGCCATGAACATGTGTATGAAATGTGAACGAAGGTATGACTGTGTTTGAACTTTGTTTACATCAATAACCTTGAATGAAAGCTGCAATTGCATACATGCATGAGCCGCACCCTTTCTGTCAGTGGGTCAATAATAGTTGAGAGTCGCCCAAGGAACATTAACAGTGGACTTAATTCTAAGAGTAAATTGTACAAATGGTACAACAACTTGGCAGGTGGGTGTGATATAGTGCAAGAATTTGAGAATTGAACGTCCAAGTGTAACAACTTGACAAGTGGATGCGTTCTAGTACAAGAACTTGGTAATTTAGTATTTTGGTGCATCAACTTGGCTAAAAGGTGAGTCTTTTTCACGATGTCAATATGCCATTACATAGTAATCCTACGGATATTACCTTAAATATTGAATTTAATCTTTAATATTTATACTGCAC